CCGCGACGGCAAATCCTGTTAAATGTTGACCGCTCTCGAAAAGCAGGCTCTGAAGCCTCTTGGGGCCTGTCCTGGGTGTCCTTGCGCACGGCATCTCAGAGCTCAGAGTTGCGAAGATGTCTCAGGCGAGATGGGCCGGACCACCTCGCGCAGGGCATCTCGGAGCCCAGAGCCCAGAGTTGCGAGGATGTCTCCAGCGTAACAGGCTGGACCACCTCGCGCTTCCTCCTGGGCCTCCTGTGGCCTCCTGGACCCCACCTGGGGCTTCCTGAAGCCTCTTGGGGCTCCCAGGGGGATATCTAACATGTGGCCGTCGGGGCCCCCCAAAATGGAGGGGGGGCACAAGAGCAGGAAAAATCAACGAATCGACACCGGATGTGGATTAACTTGATACGTTCTGATAGGGGGCCTCCTGGGAGCCTCCTGGGAATCTCCTGCGGACCCCTGGGGCCTGTCCTGGGCGTCCTGCGGCCTCCTGAAGCTCTCTGGGGCCTCCTGGGGCTCCCAGGGTCCCAGGGGGGATGTGTAACATGTGGTCTTCTGGGCCCCCAGGCTGGACCACCTCTTGCGCAGCATCTGAGAGCTCAGAGTTGCGAGAATATCTTGTGCGAAACGGGCCGGACCACCTTGCGCACGGCATCTCAGAACTCAGAGTTGCGAAGATGTCTCAGGCGAGATGGGCCGGACCACCTCGCGCAGGGCATCTCGGAGCCCAGAGTTGCGAGGATGTCTCCAGCGTAACGGGCTGGACCACCTCGCGCGCTGCATCTCGGACCCCAGAATTGCGACGATGTCTCGGGCGAAACGTGCTGCGAGGAAGTCTCAGGCGAATCGGGCCGGACCACCTCGAGCGCGGCGTCTCAGAGCTCCGAGTTGCGGGGGCCTCCTTGGGCCTCTTGGGGCCTCTTGGTGACCTCCTAGGGCTTCCTCCTGGGCCTCCTCTGGCCTCCTGGACCCCACCTGGGGCTTCCTAAAGCCTCTTGGGGCTCCCAGGGTGTATCTAACATGTGGCCGTCGGGGCCCCCCAAAATGGAGGGGGGGGGCCACAAGAGCAGGAAAAATCAACGAATCGACACCGGATGTGGATTAACTTGATGCGTTCTGATAGGGGGCCTCCTGGGAGCCTCCTGGGAATCTCCTGGGGACCTCTGGAGCCTGTCCTGGGCGTCCTGCGGCCTCCTGGAGCTCTCTGGGGCCTCCTGGGGCTCCCAGGGTCCCAGGGGGGATATGTAACATGTGGTCTTCTGGGCCCCCAGGCTGGACCACCTCTTGCGCGGCATCTGGGAGCTCAGAGTTGCGAGAATGTCTTGTGCGAAACGGGCCGGACCAACTTGCGCACGGCATCTCAGAGCTCAGAGTTGCAAGGATGTCTCAGGCGAGACGGGCCGGTGTCTCGGGCGAAACGTGCTGCGAGGAAGTCTCAGGCGAAACGGGCCGGACCACCTCGAGCGCGGCGCCTCAGAGCTCCGAGTTGCGGGGGCCTCCTGGTGCCTCCTGGAGCCTCCTGGGGACCTCGTGGGGCTTCCTCCTGGGCCTCCTGTGGCCTCCTGAACTCCACCTGGGGTTTCCTGAAGCTTCTTGGGGCTCCCAGGGGGGATATCTAACCTGTGGCCGTTTGGGCCCCTGAAAATGGAGGGGGGGGCACAAGAGCAGGAAAAATCAACGAATCGACACCGGATGTGGATTAACTTGACACGTTCTGATAGGGGGCCTCCTGAGGCCTTCTGGGAGCGTCCTGGGAGCCTCCTGGAAATCTCCTAGGGTCCCCTGGGGCCTGTCCTGGGCGTCCTGCGGCCTCCTGAAGCTCTCTGGGGCCTCCTGGGGCTCCCAGGGTCCCAGGGGGGATGTGTAACATGTGGTCTTCTGGGCCCCCAGGCTGGACCACCTCTTGCGCGGCATCTGGGAGCTCAGAGTTGCGAGAATATCTTGTGCGAAACGGCCGGACCACCTTGCGCACAGCATCTCAGAGCTCAGAGTTGCGAGGATGTCTCAGGCGAGACGGGCCGGACCACCTCGCGCAGGGCATCTCAGAGCTCAGAAGTTCGAGGATGTATCAGGCGAAACGGGCCGGACCACCTCTCGCGCGGCATCTCCGAGGTTAGAGTTTCGAGGATGTCTCAGGCGAATCGGGCCGGACCACCTCGCGCAAGGCATCTCAGAGCTCAGAGTTTCGAGGATGTCTCAGGCGAAATGGCCCGGACCACCTCTCGCACGGCACCTCGGGGCTCAGAGTTTCGAGGATGTCTCAAGCGAGACGGCGCGGACCACCTCTCGCGCGGCGTCCCGGAGCGAAACTTTTCGACGAGGTCTCAGGCGAAACGGCCAATCCCGGCCAACTCAGAAACGAGAGTTGTGGGGATGTCTCAGGCGAAACGGCCCAGACCATCAAACTTTTGTGAGGATGTCTCTGCTTGCAGGTCCGACCGAGGGGGGCCCTTCGACGGAGTCGATCCATCGTCACCTCCTCAAAGAGCTCCATGCCAGCTTCAAGCGTCACAAGGGCCCCCCTCGGACTGCTGTGCTGGAGCTGTTCGCCGGCACGGGTCGCCTGTCCGCTGCGCTTCGGCGCCGCGGAGTCGCCGCGCTGCCGATGGACTTCGCTTCGAAACAGTGATTCGATCTCGACCATCCTGCTGTCCGTCAGGTCGTTCGTGGGTGGGTTCGTGGTGGAGTCGCTGCCGCTCTCTGGATTGCGCTGCCGTGCTCGTCTTGGAGCCAGGCCAGACACGGGCCGCCTGGGTCGTCTTGGTGCACCATCCGCTCGAGGGAACACGTTTGGGGGCTGCCGAACCTTGCAGCCAGGCCGCAGGCGGCCGTAGACTTGGGAAACAAGCAGCTTCGTTTCGCCCTGGGCCTGATCGCGCCGGCCCGCTCCCTGGGAGCCCCCGTCTACCTCGAAAACCCAGGTGGCCTCTGGGTTTGGAGCACGCCCGCCTCGAAGGCCCTGCTGGGGGCCCACGATGCCGTGTCGTTCGACGTCGACGTGTGTGCTTTCGGTGCCCGCTAGAGAAAGTTCACGCGGATCGCTTGCTGGGCCCGACATCACCCAGACGCTCTCCTGAGGCCGCGATGCAGTTGTAGAAAGGGCTTATGTTCTTTTTCGGGCAAGCCTCACATAGTCCTCTCTGGCCTTGACCCCGTCTTTGGGATCTGTTGGGCCCGCCTTGCCGAACCTTACCCTGTAAAGTTTTGGGATTTTTCTCCGATTTAATTGCAAGGCAAACTGGTTTTCAAGATTTCAAGCGTTTGGTTTCCCTTGCTTGTCCTGTCTCAGGTAAGTATTCTAGTTAATGTTTTGTTTCTGCCTACTCCAGTTTATGCATTAGCGGCGCCGTCCTGCCGTCGCCACTTCTCCTCTCGGGTTCGGGTCTCCTCCTCGGTGTTGCGTGGGTGCGTTGGGTCCTCCTCCTCCTCCTCCTCTCTCTCTCCTCCGTGCATCTCGTTCGCCTGCTGCTGCGGCTTCGGTGGAATCGCCCGGGACGCCCGCCACACAGAAATGTTTGGGGTGGCCTGGGGTGTAGCAGGAGATGGCCGTGTTTGCACATCTCATCTTCAGTGGAACCGAAGGCCGTCGTGGTCACGCATCTACGGAAGGCCGTCGTGGTCACGCATCTTCGCCGCGACCGCGTCGACCGCGTCGGCTCATGTCTTTTTCTGGCCCGCCCTCCTCTCCCTCTTCTCTCTCTCTCTCTCTCTCTCTCCTCCTCGGTGTTGTGTGGGTGCGTTGGGTCCTCCTCCTCCTCCTCCTCCTCCTCCTCCTCCTCCTCCTCCTCCTCCTCCTCCTCCTCCTCTCTCTCCTCCGTGTGTCTCGTTCGCCTGCTGCTGCGCCTTCGGTGGGATCGCCCAGGACGCCCGCCACACAGAAATATTTGGGGTGGCTTGGGGTGTAGCAGGAGATGATGATGATGATGATGATGATGATGATGATGATGATGATGATGATGATGATGATGATGATGCTGATGCTGATGCTGATGCTGATGCTGATGCTGATGCTGATGCTGATGCTGATGCTGATGCTGATGATGCTGATGATGATGATGATGATGATGATGGTGGTGATGATGATGGTGGTGACGATGTTGTTGTGAGTGTCTGGGTGCACGCGATGGTGATGATGATGATGATGCTGATGATGACGATGCTGATGATGGTGATGATGATGATGAGGATGAGGATGAGGATCAGGATGAGGATGAGGATGATGATGATGATGATGATGATGATGATGATGATGATGATGATGATGATGATGATGATGATGATGATTTGAGTAAGGAAGACAAGAGGAGTGGGAGGTGCGGGTGCGTTCCTGCGCGATAGCGCTAGTTGGCGCTACTGGCACACCTCATTATCCGTGGCCCATCGGGTCCCAACCTGCGGCGCGGCCCATTCCTCGCGCGCTTCGTGCCCAGTGTGGAGCGGTTCGGCGTCACTGTGCTCGGTCGCATGCGCGTCAGTGTTCACGATGGCACACACACACACACGCACACTTTGTTCGCGATCGCGGCCTCGCGCGCGGCGACGAGGCGGAGAAGGTCGAGCAAACAAGGCACACACATACACTGCGCACCCTAGTACCCCATAGGGTGCGCCATTACAGCGCCAGGGAGCCCAGTCGCATTCGCATCCACGCCTTACGCAAGGGATGTGTTCGCCAAGCTAGCTCAAGAAAGGCGACATATTTGTATGACATGTTTTGGGGCTGTCTGGCATGTGCGGGGGCTCATTTCAGGGGTGCTGCCGGGGTCTCGGGCTGTCTTGGGCACCATTTGGGGACCGTCTCGAGCGGGCTGGGAACAATCTTGGGCCAGCCGCAAGCTACCCTGGGGGCTGGGATGGGGGTAGGTAGGCGTTCGTGCCAAAAGGTCGGGTTCTCTTTTCTCGTTTCCTTCACGTTCCCTCGCTGTGTTAGCCGTTTGGATCGGGCAGGCCCCAACCCACCCAAGCGCGCTGCACCAGCGCCCATACAATCGCATCCCAGCCGTGCCCAGCTCAACATGATGTGGAAAGGCCAGCTGTTGCTGCTGCTGCTGCTCCTGTCAGCGGCCGACGCGCAGTGGGATCCCTATGACAGGCTGTCGACAGCGGGGCCGATCCCGACTCCGAAAGAGGACACGATTGCTTACTACCCGCCGTTGTCGGGGAACCTCCGCCTGGGAATCGCGGCGATGCTGACGAGGCGCGACGGGTGCGGCGCAGCCCGCGTGGTGGCGGCAACCCGCGCGATCTACGACGTGAACACGCGCAACTCCACATTCTGCCCAGCCATTGCCAACCTTGGCTCTGCCGACCTGTTCAATGTCTCAACGGATGTTTCGGTAGCAAATCATTGGAGTTTGGTGTACCCTCATATTTCAGTGTTTAGCGTCGATCAGCGTCTGAGAGTCGATGAGGTAGCGCCGATTGAGCGTTGGTTAGCGTCGACTAGCGTCGATTTAGCATCGATTTAGCGTCGACTAGCGTCGATCAGCTTCGATCAGCGTCAATTCGCAAGAGCCGGCAAGTGGTATGGGAGGCTCCCATGAGTTGCCACCAAAGGATGTCATGGACCACGGCGGGTCCAGCGAACGCGCAATTCTGGCAGGGTTCTATTTCAACAACATGGTGGAAAAGTATGGCTTCGGCCTGTACGGAGAGCCCGTGCACGGCATCGTTGGTTTCACTACGTCGGGCGCGTCAGCGGCAGGCGCCACCGCCATGCAGTCGTTGGGGTTGCCTATGGTTTGCTATTCCGCCACCAGCCCACTGCTCTCGCTGAGGAACGGCCCTGCGCTCAAGTACCCAAATTTCTTTCGCGTCTGCCCTGGCGACCAGAACCGAGTAAGGGCTGCTGCGCGCGCCATGAGGCACATGGGATACACCCGCGTGGTGTCATTTTATTGTAGAGGCTTGCGTCATTCCGCCGACCTCCGACACTACATGGATGATGTGTGAATGAATTTACTTACGCGTCCCGTATCCTCAGCAGCCCATTGAAACAGTGAACCCGGCGCGACTTTCTGTGAACGTTGCGTAAGTAAGTGATTAAGCAAGGAGTGGTTTCCTCTGTTTTGTTTTGCTTTTCTTTGCGTTGACTGACTTGCTTGGCATTGATCTGCGCTGCTTTGCATTGCTTCGTTTTGATTTGCATTGTTTAATTTTGATTGGCATGTCTTGTCTTTGCATTGCACGGTTCGGCATGGCGTGACATTGCATTTATTCGCATTGTTTTGCATTATTTGTCGTTGCTTTGCTTGGCATTGTGTTGCGTTGTTAGGCATTTTTTTTTCGTTGTCTTGTTTTGCTTGGCATTGCATGGCATTGCTTGGAAACCCCGGACGGCGCAGGCCTCGCACCCACTGGTGTTTCAAAGAAGAAATCGGGCGCGACCCCGATCGGTCAGGGGAACGTCTGTTCAGCGGCGCTGGTTGGCATTGCTTGGTGTTGCCTGGCACTGCTCGGCGTTGCTATGCTTCCGATCTGCCCTCGAAGAACAAAAGCGCCATAAACATAAATGTTTGGCGTTCCGCGCGGATTTCTTGGATCTGCGCTGGTGCCCCCCTGGCGGCGCCTCCGGCGCCGCCCCTGGCGCGCTTCGCGCGCCAGGGAGAGGGGTCCAGCGCAGATCCGAGAAATCCGCGCGGAGCGTCGAGAGTTTATGTTTGTACCGTTTGTTGTTCCTCTATGTTTGGTGTTGTCAGGCATTGCTTGGCGTTGTTTTGCTCTGCTTGGCGTTGCCATGCAATGCCCGGCGATGCGTGCCTTGTGTTGTCTTACTTGGCGTTGCACTGCTCGGTGTTGCTTGGCATGGCTTGGCGTTGCTTGGCGTTTATTGCCAATTGCTTGGCATTGTTTCGCATGGGCGGTGACAACTTTTTGTGGCAAATCATAAGTCGACGCCCCCAGGCGGCGGGAGTGTCCCGCCGTTGGCCCCCCGCGCGATGGCGGGCGGCTGCGTGACCACCCGCCGCGGGCCGCCGCTCCGTCGGGCGGGCCAGGCTCCCGCGCGGGCATGCTGGCGTGCCGCGCGGCCGTGCGTCGGTGTCCGTCCTCCCTCTGTCCCTCCGTGCGCGGTCGAAGTGTATCCTTTCTGCCGCTTGGTCGCAGGGCGGGATATCAAGTACCCGGCCATGGCTGCAGCGCCCAACCTGCCTGCCAGAGCGCCGCTTTGGACCACCCCTGGGGCGACGCGCGGCGCGTCCGTTCGCCAGAGTGCGCCGGACGCGACCGCGGTCGCTGCTCGTTTTTTCGCGCCCTAGGTTCCCATCGGGGCCTAGGTTCCCATCGGGGCCTCTTCCGCGGGTCCAGTGTGACCTGCGCGACGTCGTCCTTGTCCCGTAGAGGACTTTGGGATCGGCCCTGAAAGATCTTGGCGTTGCTACCGTGCCCAGAGTGATTTCCTACGCTGGTCGAGTGTGACCTAGATACCCATCGTTTTTTTTTGGCGGGTCCAGAGTGACTTACGCGCGGTTGTCCAAGTCCCGTAGAGGATTTTGGGATCGGCCCTGAAAGGTCTTGGCGTTGCCGCCGTGCCCAGAGCGGTTTCCTGCGATAGTCCAGCGTGACCTAAGTACCCTTCGGGGCCTCTTCCGCGGCCCAGGGTGACTGACGCGCGGTCGCCCCAGTCCCGTAGAGGATTTTGGGGTCGGCCCTCAGGGGTCTTGGCGTTCACCCCGCACCCAGAGGGGCCTCCTGTGCTGGCCCAGCGTGACTTCGGTGCTGTCCGAGCCCCGTAGAGGACGAGGGGCGCGGCCCCAAAGGGTCATTAGTCGTGGTGACTATGGTGATGGTGTAATGCCCAGAGGGGCACTCCCCGATGGTCCTGAGCGACCTACGCGCCGTTGCGTCAATCCCATTGGGCATGGGAGGACGGGCCCAAAGGGGTCTCGGCGTTCTCGAGGGGTCTATTGTGGCCGGCCGCGGGGCTCCACGGGTGCCCGCGTCGGGAGCTCGCTAGCTCTCTTCAGTCCTACACGGACTCTGGTGTTGTCGTGTCTGTGGCCTCGGTGGTCTCTGTCGCTATCAGGTTCTCTGGGGTTCAACGCGCTCTGTTACCGGTTGCACGCGGCAGGCGGTCTGCAGTGCTGCGCTCCAGTGGCTGCGCGCGCGGGCGGCTGTGACGCTAGTGCTCTCCCGCGTGAGACTTGCGATTCTTTGCTATCGATTCTTTGTTATCATGGCCGACAGCGCGCCGCTGGGCCTCCTGCGACAGGGCCCCGTGGTTGGGGCGGACTGGCAGGACATCGAATATAAACCCGCCATGGATTGCCTCGGGGCGAGCAGGTTTAAGACGCCAGCGCAGATGGTGAACGTTCGCATCGAGAAGCTGATTGGCTCAGAGAACCTGTCTGCCGCTCTGAAGGGCGCACTTCGTCGCGCGCTGGAGCGCGCCACAACGGCGGGCAAGGGGGTGGTCGCGCGCGCGCCCGGCGCGCCCCAGTGCCCACGCGTTCGCGTCGGGGATGAGGCCAACGTGGAAATGGCCGCCCCCGTGCGCCACGTCGGCGCGGGCGCAGTGCTTGCGATGATTTCGCTGGACGGGCCCAGCCAGACGATCTGGCCGAGGAACGGCTTGCGCGCGCGCGCGCGCCAGCGGCGGCGGCCGCGATTGTTGCAAAGCGGCAGGAGCAAGAAATGCGACCGGCTGGCGGCCGACGTCGCGAAGGCCAAGAAGCGGGGATGCACTAACCCGCTCATTTATTCAGATTTGCGCGGCTTTCTCCCGACCTGGGCCGCGAGACCCGCGGGGTCGACGACGCTGGCGATGACGGCGGGGCTGCAGATTGCAGCGGCAAAGGGCAGCGCGCGTTGTCGCGGGCCGAGCGGCACCTTGCCTACGATGCATGGGCAATCGCGGTTGCGGCGACTGAGCAGCTGTCACGCGCGCGGCGCGTGGAGCACAAGCGCTGCGTTGCACTCCAGTTCCGCGCTGCGCCGGCGCGAGGGCGCCGCGGCGCGCGCATCCTAAGCTCGTCGCAAAGTGGCTTTGCAGGCCCCTCTCGCGGGTCGCAAGGCGGGGCTCGGGCCCACGAGCTCGTCCGCAAGAGCTGGGCCGGGCGCTCGCGTCAGAGCGGCGTAGAGCCGTTCAACAACGAAGAGGCATCGAAAGGGCTCGTCTCGCTGGCACTGCGGACAGCCGAGAACGAGTTCGACCGCGCCGCCAAGGTAGCTCGCGCAAGCCAGGGCGGCGCGACCGCGCGCGGTCGTTGCGTCGCAGGCGCAGGGGCAGGTCTCGCAGGCCACGTCCTCGGGCAGCGGCCGCGGCAGCGGCCGCGCTGCGACGAGCAAAGGCGCGGCGGAGGCGCGCTCTTCGCGCTCCGGCGCGTCGCGGCACAGCGGCGGCTGGGGCCGCTCCACTTGGAACAACGGCGCGCGGGGCAGCGCGAAGCGGAGTGCGCCGGTCGCGCCGCGCGCGCCGCCCCGGCCCGCGAAATGGGCGAAGAAGTGAGGGGGCGCAAGACGCCCCAATTCGAGGTGCATTCGCTGTTAGCACAGTTGTGTCACTGGCAGATTCGCGGCCGCGCGCGCGGCAGGCGCTCGTGGTCGGTTGCGCCGCGCGGCGCCCACGCGCTGCCACCTTGCCTCGCACGCGTTGCCGGCCGCGCCGTCGCGCTTGCGCGTCGCGGCCGAACGCTCATCAGCGCGGGCATCAAGCCAACATTCGTCATGTGCGGTTGCTGCGTGCGTGGTGCAGATCGCCCAGCGCGGGCACGCGAGGTGGCGCGCGAAGAGCATCGGCGGCGCCCGAAGAGCAGCGCGCTCAGAGGCTTGTTCTCGCTTAAGAAGTTGATTTCGCTCGTCCGCCATGACGGCGCCCTCAAACGCGGTTTCTGGCGCGGTTTCTGTTGCGGCGGGGCAATGCGAGACGGGGCTGGACGAGAAGGCGCGCGCGGCGCCGCGCGCGTCGGACGCGACCGCGATCGCGCGCCCGCGCACTTGCTGGGCAGAGGGGCGGGCCCCAAGTGGCGCCCGACGCCCGCGGGTCCGCCCCTGGCCATGCCAACCCCTCCCCCGCGGGGCGCGCATGGCGCGAGGCAGTGCCGGCTCGAAGTGATCAGGGCGGAAATGCGCTTCGCCCTGGCCCAGATTGCACCGCCCCTGCCACAGGAAGCGCGGCGCGCTATCATAGGATTTGACCAGACCTCGATGGGGGAGGCGCGCATCGGCATGGTGGGGGTTCGCACGCGCGCCATGTCCCCGGGCGACGGCGAGGGGGGCCGGGCGTGGCCGCGCGGCCGCGCGGGGGCGCACGGCGCGCGCGGCGCTTAGACGCGCGCGGCGACTGGCACGCTGGGGCGCGCGCGCACTGATCCAAGAATGCTGCCTGGCGCGGGTCGGGGGGCGCGCCGGACCACGTGCAAGTTGGCGCTGACACGGCGATTGCGCCGATGGTGGCGACGCGGCCGTGCGCGATGACGTGCGAGACCGCGCGTGCAGGGGGCCGCGGCGCCTTGTTCTTCCGGGCCCAGTGCGGCACCTGGCATTGGTTCGTTACGTTTGTGCGATTGTGCTTGCTCTTCTGCTTGGCGCGATGCGGCAGGCGCCAAAGCCTCCGCGCCCTCCGGCCAGGCGACGCGCGGCAGCGGGGCCCGCGCGCGCGCGGCGGTCGCAGGCCAGAGCGCCAGCGGCGGGGCCCGCCCCCACTCAGCGGGCGGAACAGCAGGACGGGGAGGCGCCTGCCGACGCCCCCGGCCCCCAAGCGACCGCGGCTGGGCAATTCGGCCGAGAGCGATCTCAAACGCGACTTTCCCCGGCAGGCTCGGGCCGGGACATGTAAATTCGAGAAGTCAGTCACGCCGGCGCCCGACGTTTCGGACGCGGCACGCTGGGTCGGCGAGCGCGCGCCCAGCGCGGCGCGGAGAGCGCGCGAAGAAGCCGCGTGGCGCATTGGGACTCGGGCCCGCCAGC